TGATGACCTGAAGCCTGAAGCCCCTCGAGCTTGCTCGTCTTATTTGTGGCCGTGGCCTTAACCTTGTGGCACTTGTGGCCAACGGCAACCATGGGACTGGGACTCATGGGCAATTGCCGATATGAACAAATTGAGTCCGCAAGCTGCGAGCCTCTTGTGAACTCAGCGTTGTTGCGGTCAATTGCGCGCTCTCGGTATAGAAACCAACGAGTCACACAAGCAAGCGCACAAGTGAAAGCCAACGTCTGCGGGTTCCAGATGTAACGCGCAAACGGTCCAATGATGCTCCAAGTTGGCTCCAAGTGTGCATTGAATACATTGCCGAAAGGTTTACAGTTGTAGCTGATGCCACCAAATCTCAGAAACATGCGAAAACTGCAAATGTGAAATGCCACTCTTTACTCGGGGATTGGTTGCTGCTAGGCCTATCAGGAGCCCTGCTTGACTGTAGCGCCAGTTTTTGGTCGGGGCCTCGGGTGGCGATTTGAAGTTTCATTTTCGCAGTGCGTGGTGATTTCCGACACCCAATGACTGGGTACAGGCTTTGCATTGGCGTAAGTCAGTTTTGCGCACCGTGAGATTCCATGTGTGAGACATTGCGGTGGCCGTCGGAGTGCGTGGATTGCAGGCAGAGCTACGCTGAGATTGAGAAGGCGCGGCCAGTGCTGGCCCACGTAATTCATGTGGGAATGCAACTGCAATCCATGTGCATGAAGTTGAGCGCCAGGGGGGGCAAGCGACGTCGCGGCACCGCGCTGTGGCTGAGCCGGGAGTGGATCTGGTGATGCACCGGCTCACCGGGAAGCCAAATTTGGCGAATTGCGGAGCTGGAAGTGTTTTTTCAATTGGGCTGCATGTGTTTTTCGCAGGGCCAGAGCAACAGTGAGTGTGATACACTTCCCACTTTTGCGCAGGGGCTGTAGGGCTGTCCAACATTGCACAAAGCCACAAAAGCTGGATCAATCCGAAGATGGCGCCCTCTATGTTCTGATGAAGACGCTCGTGTTCATCATGTCGCAAAAGATCGTGCTGCATCATTACAATAAAACATTGGGCAAGCGGGCAGCCATCAAGCTTGGGTGTGTGTGTGTGTGTGCGTGTGTGGCGTGTCTATGTTTTTCAGGATCTTGAGAAACTTGATGTGTTGCGAGCACCCAAGGCAGACATACTTCTGATGCGGGCTCGGCGATCATTCTGGCGGAGCAATGGGCACAAGAGCTTTGTTTTTCTTGGATACTTGGCGCGGTTTCAGCCTGCGATTTGCGAGTGCTTGTGCGTTGCATGGTTGGCAATGGTTGCTGGCTTGGAGTTGCTGCGTGCTCAGGTGGGGACGCGAGCCCTCAGTCGGGTTCAGAGTACTTCATGTGTCTTGGACGGCGCTTGATGAATTGCCTGGCTTTGCTCACTGCCTTGCTTGTTTTTTGTGAGCTGCCTGGCTTAGCTGTTTTGGTTCACCCAGGATCCTGGAGCATGCCACCGCAATAGAGGCAGCTCGAGACGCTTGCGCTGCCTGACTGCACACAGCGCACGGCTTGTGAAGCAACCCAAACAAACTTCCACTTGAGCGTTGAGCCTTGTAAACTTGGTGGGCCAGGCTGCGCAGCAACCAGATTCACGTGTGTGGCGGGGCGTTGAGACTCACGCGATGCCGTTATGCATCCTGGGATCGGGGTGCAGCGGATTGGCTCACAAGTTCAACTGCCTGGTCCGTGCTTGCAAATTGGAGGTGGGAGGCAATGTTCTTCTGCGCATGTCCTTGCTGTTCTTGCAGTGTGAGTGCTGTGAGTGTTGGGAATGGGACCGGGACAGTTCTCCAGTTCCACAAGCCGCAGAATTGTGAGCTGGACGTCAGACTTCGGAGTGGAAAGCTTGATGACACAGGCCAGATGTTGTTGTTGCACGGCGGGTGTGAGATGCTTCTCCAGGTTCCGGCAGTTCCTTTGGGTGACCTGATGAAGGAACACGTGGAGGCCATGGGTTCCCAGTTTAGATATGTCGGTAATGTGGCAACCGACAACGCCTTCACATTTGACATCAGTGGCTGCTTGATGGTGACTGGACACTTGGCTGTCTTGTTGCTTTCGGGGGGCTGGAAGATTGCAGCTGCGACATGGTGATATTCTTGCCGTTCAGGAATGAGCCATATTTTTGACAACATCACCAAGAGCGTCCTTCGCGATTTGAGCCACTTTGACTCCTACCAGCAATCCCTGCGTGTGATTGTAGACTTGCTATCAATCGAGCACTACCGGGCCAGGTTGCTTGACAGTCTTGGCAAACTCAGTGTGAGCATTCCCTTTTGACATTTGACGGGGTATATGGGCTTGAGATGAGGCTGCTGGCAACATGCTTCAGGGGCACCGTGTTTGAACGGGCAATGAAGTATTGGGATGGAGGTCGATTCATCCTTTGGAGCAGCTTGGGCTGCAATGTGTGATTCCATGCCTTCTGAAAGGGGCTGGTTTACCTGTTCAGTGGTTGGACACACGCAATACCTGGGGCTGGAAGTAATTTGTTGTAGAAGTTGCAAGTTGGTCGCCGTGTTCAAGAGCCGTGGTCAGTGTTCACTGCCAGGATGGAATTCTTTGAGTTCAGCTACATTGGCTGTGTTGGCAAGGGAGGGAGCCCTTCGCGAGATGTGGTCTATCTCCAAGTTCCAGAAGGGTGCTCGACCAGACCCAGAAGCGGAGGGGGGGTCTGGTAAGTAAATCCGTTTGGTTCAAGTGCAAGTTCAGAGTTAGAGCCCCCTTCAATACGACACATGAGAGGCAGATGCGGCAGTTGCGGCAGATGCACAGGGCCAAGGAAACCGCCCGCAGACGTACAAAGTGTCAGCAAAGTTCTGCCAAGAAATTGACGGGGTCCCATCAAATCTCCATTTTTTTGGGCCTACACTTCGCTCGTGGGTCTCATCTCTGGCTTCTTGACCGAGCTGGCCTCCTTCTGCGAGGGGTGTTCTTGCCACCGCAGCTGGCAGCAGCGGCAATCTGCCCTTGGCGGGTCGTGCGGCTTCAAAGGCCGAAGGGCGCCAGAACTGGCGGCAGGGGAGCTGGATGACCGAATCGAAGCAGCTTCAGCCAACGCCATCTCGCAGATATTGACCCTGCGCCGTGATCTTTCTGAAGCTGAATCATCCAACATGTTTCTGGATTGGAATGCTGCAATTGACAGAATTGTGTTTGAAGTGCAGGCGAAAACATCTCACTGGCGGCAGCTTCCCTGGCGGCTCTGCGTTTGTGGCCACCCGAACGAAGAAGTGGCTAGGGCACAGATGCGAGTTTGCAGAGACCTGTACGCGGCGACTGAAGCTCGCCTTATGTGACTTCTTGATTGAAAGCTCGTGACCACGCCTGCCCCCCTGCCAAATCTGACGCCGCATGCGTTTTGCTCAGGCAAGCTCAGACAATCACCACAGATTGACCAGACGCTTCTTCTGCAGAGACTACGAGCCGGACCCGCAAGCAGACTTCGATCATGACACATCGCTTCGGGCAGAGGCCTGGCAGAGGGTCGACTGCGACTGACGGACTGCGCGTGCTCAGGCTAGTCTTGTCGCAACACACGGGTGTCGCACAATGATCACCAGCGCTGCCCACTGTTCCTGTTGACAGCGTGCCGCATGACAGGTTGACGACTTCATAGAAGGATCGCCCCTCAACGAGCTGCCAAATCTTGTAGTGTGGGCCGGCCTTCTGAAATGTGTCCGGATATGTGAAAGATCAATAGAGGCAGCTTGGTTTGAACCTTGTGAAACAAAGAAACAAACACATCACCACAATTGATTGGTGCGGGGGTGGTGCATGGGTGTGCCGGCACGTGTGTTGTGTTCTTGGCTCAGCACAAAGACATAAGACCACCCTGCTCAGGGCGCCCGCTGCTCGCGATGCTTACATCTCCACTGAATCTCGCTGGCCAGACTTGGAGCGCATATTTGCTAGCTGAGCCTTGGCGCTGCGAACAGACATACTTGTACGTTTCTTCATTTCTTCCAGCTCTTGAACTCACTCACACGATTTGCTTGACCTGCTTTTCTGCATTGTGAACATTTGTTTGTGGATTTGCATGTCTACTGTTTTTTTTAGATTGTGTGTAGCGGCCGTAAGGACTTGCGAGATGCAACAACAGCTGCTGACCTGTCTTGTCACAAGGGGCTGACCCTCGCAGTGTCGGAATTGTGCGGTGGAGACGCTTGCCGCCCTACGGCTGGGTCAATTGGGGTTGTTTCATGCACTGCCCGCTCAAAAGCATGCCCTGATTGGGCACCGATGTAGGGTCATGCTTGTAACGGTAAATGCAAGCACCGAGAAAGGAAACTATATTGATATGAGGTCAGATCTTGTTGGCTCAAATATCCTCCCAAACGGCCAGCAGCACGTTAGACGCCGGCCTTCGTACTAGTTTTCCAGCGGTTCGTACTAGAACCCCCAGTTTTCCTCCAATCGTACCCATTACCCAAAACGCCCAGAAATTTCTGGGTGTTTGAATCTCCAGGGTGATTTTTTCGGAAAGCCGACAAATTCTGAAGAAATTTGCGGGGTTACGTCCGGAGATCTGAGAGCCGGGGAAAATTTGGCCGGGTTATGCTGCGAGAGCTCTGAGCGAAGATCCGCAGAACCCCAAAAAAAATGTAAAATTTCGGGGACTGCGCTAAGAGGCAGGAGCTTGCGCCGCGGAGAAAGGACCGGGATGGGCACAGCCGCTCGCCGCAAGCACGACGATTCGGCCGGGGTACCGCTGCAGCGGCTGGGCGGTGCATGGGAAATGCGACCCCGAGGCCGCACCGGTTTATAGGAGAATATTTAATTCAATGTGTTTATTATATCTATTCTCATTCAATCATTCAAAAATTAATCACAAATTTTAAGAATCATTAATATATTATAGAAGATATGATAGATATACTATTTATATCTAAATTATATTAATTGATGTTCTTGATTTTATTAATACAATTATTTATTTGTGTGACGGAAATATGTGTTTTTTCTTTTTTTGTTGTATTATTTAACAGCCGCAATGTTTTCATTGCTGCTGGCTGCTGTCGTGCAGGCGATACCTTGGAGTCGGATGCGTGAACAAATGCCCGACAGGGCATTTTACGGATAAATGAAGAGAGGCCTCTCCCGCAAATGGTCGATGTTTTAAATAGACATCGCCGTCTCATTGCAAGCCAAGCATCTTTCATCGCTCTGGGATGCATTTGGCCTTGCCACACGCACAACATGAATTCACTGACCCCGCCAGGCAAATTGCAAGCCATTCAAGGAATCTTGCTCAAAGTACACATGTTTGTTGACTGCCAAGTGTGAAGTGCACAGGCGCAGCGGTTCCGAGATACTGGCTGAAGGCCAATAAGCGAGGATACCTGAGAAAAAGCCACAATTGGAGGAACGGGGTCGCTGGCGCACATGTCCAACCAGTCATGCAAGGGCCACAACCGGAAAGTACAAAGCTTACATGGCTGTGGCCGGCATAGGATTGGTTGCAAAGGCCTGTTTCCGTGCTGAAGGCTTGAAGTGAAGCGCCAGGGAGTATGCGAAAATGCGTGGTCCACATGGCAAATGTAAGTCCTGCTCTTGAAGGATCTGCAGCTTCAAACTCATCCCGTCTACGGCTGGTGCTGTGGTTGCTTGGAACTGTCAAATCCCTTGCAAAGCTCAAAACATTCGTAAGCCCAATATACCGTTCGCATTCCAGGGTCAGACTTTGATGCGAAGATGCCCTGACAGCCCTGTGTGACGCTCCAATCATGCAGCACTGCTGGAACTGCTCCCTCTTTGTGCAGAGCTGCGCAAACGTACAGCTCGTGGGCGGCCTGGGCTAAACGCGGGAACCTGTTGCCCAAGCCCTGCGTCGAGCCTTGGAGCACTTCAACACCCGCTCCGCGCTGAAGTCTGGGTCCTAGTACAGACAAGGGGCTGTACGCAGGGCCTTTGTGCAAAAGACATGCTGGCCTGAGCATCACCTGTCTGAGCTTCGTATGGATTTACACATCCCTCGCTCGTGCCATTGAGTCATGCCTGTAAGAAGTCACGCCGAAGGCCCCTCCCACTCTACTGCCCGCCTTGAAGTACTTCTTAATCTTAGCACGCTGCGCTGGCCCGATCTCCTGGCGATGGGTAGCTGGGCTGCGGAGTCCAGTCAAAGACGCAAGAGACAAGACACCAACACAGCCACCCGCGCAATTCATGTTCCTCAAACGCAAAACGCACCACATTTCCAGGCATGAGCCACATGCCTCGAAGGAGCGCAGCTTGGACAGCAGGAAGGGATCCGACAGGAGGAAGCGCCGGGCCTCGGGCGTGCGCCCCAGCTCTCATCTGGAGTGCATCCAACGAACCAAAGGTGTCCAAGAATGTTGGTGGAAGAAAATAGGCGCAGCGAGGCCCCCGCCGGCTCCCAATAATCCAGGTGCTGCCTCGCAGAATCGTCCCTGGATTTCACCGGCTGGATGTGGAAGAGCAAGCAGCACACCTGGGCAATGTTGTTTTTTCTGGGTTCAATTGATGCCAAGTGAGCCACTGGTTCTGGATTAGGAGCATCTGGCAAAAAGAAACTACTCAGCTGCTGTGGCGGATCGCCACACAGAGTCATGTTTCCCAATGTATTGCACTAAGATCTGCTGGACAATCATGATTCTCATTTGCGATCGTTCTAGGAAACCGCAATCGTAGCCAAAAAGTACGGTCATCTTGCACTTAGACTTAGATGTGGTGTCTATTGCTGAGGGCCATAGTTCTGGTTCCCAAACAAAGCTTACAACGGCTCTCCAAAATTCAGACCCGGCCTCCATGAGCATCCGAATGGGGGGCGGCGGCTTCTTCAGCGCCTTAATCTCCGACAGGTCGCCTGGGCAGTCTGTTGGCTCGGTACCCCCTTTTTGTTCCGTTTGCATTGCAGGGAAAGTAAGGGAAACCGGGCCCTCGTTTAGGAGATGGTGTGAGAAGTAAACCACTAAACAGGGAAATCACAAGAACCAGGGGGGGTTAAGGGTTGTTGAAGGTTGTGCAAAGGGACTGTGACAGAGCATCCAAAGGTAGGTTCCCATATTTTGAGGCAAGCCTATGAGATGCGCTCAAGGCGAAAGGCATCCGCTTGCCACCTTCCAGGCAAGATAAAGTCCATCCACGTCATATGGATCTTAATAATCGTAATTTAAAGAAGAAGAAAAACACATTGATCATTTCGAGAATACAAACGAACTTTACGCAGACTTCAAACAAACTTTCGGTTTTGCAGGGATGCAAACGCAAAGTTCAAATACGCTTCCATGTTCTTCAATGCATTTGTCCATCACTCCAAAGCTTCCATACAAAAAGCTCGGGCCATCTTGAATACCAGTCGCCTCCAACTTGCGCACTGGGGCTTCGGCGCATGGAGAGCTTGCCAGCGCTTTCCCGCGGGCTCCGCATCGGGGGCTCGGCCTTGCGTACCGTTGACATCTTGCGCATCTGGCACTTTGCAAAGCGAAGCAGATTGGTGAGCCCTGACTGCTTGTCCCAACCGAGATTTTGGAATTTGCTGGGTGGTTCCTTTAAACGGTTCCTTTCACTGGCGATTGGAACGAGCCTTGGAAGAGCGCAAAGCTAGAAGAGACAGAAGCAGGAGTCGGAGTTTCCAAGTGCGCGGGGAGCCCTGTGACTTCCCGCCTTAATCTCCTTGGCCCATGGGCTGCGCTTGAGCAGCACAGGTCGGCGCTCCGCCGCATCCTCGCGAACGTGCGACGCACGAGCCACAGGCATGGCCTCTAGGCGAAGCATGCAGGCGAAGAACCCGATCTTTGCTCAAGGCAAGCACCCAGAGTAAAAAAGCCCAGCTTCATAATGTCCAAAATCCTGCGGGGTTCCAGTGTCGTTCAAGCCCATCTCTAGACCCTGCCTCATAGACCGAGGCCCACTCCCTGAGAAGGCCGCCAGCGGTCGGCAGCTCCTCCTGCGCGCACGGCATCGCGCACTCCACGTGCGTGCGATCGTGCGATTGCAGCGCTTGCTTCAAAACAACGATGAAACTAGGTTTTGAGACGAAAGATGTTGCCTCTTTTCTGGACTCAACATGAAAGGTACCATCACTGCCTTTTTCGTTCCCAATCCCATCGAACCAACCGGCTGCGCCTCCATCTCGGGGCTGTCTTTGGAGAGCGCGGAGTCCAGGCTGGAGTCAATCCTGACAAAGCCCCAAAGCGGCAAAGACTTCAAACGCAATGAAGAAAAACAACTTTCACGCAAACAAGTGCCCGGGCATTTATCAGGGTCTGACCCAGAATAGAGATTACAAAGGAGATCTAAGGTCCCTGCAGCTCATCGCAGAAGGCCTGTCGCCACACGGCGGAAGCCACAAATTTCCAAGGCAAAGGCCAGGAAAGGCGACACGAGCTTCTGTGTCAAACGTAGCAAGGCGGGCAGCAAATAGCAACAAAGCCATCGAAAGCGATGGAAGCAGCACAAGTTGCAACAGCTTTTGCAAAAGTCAAGAGCACTGCCATCACCTACCAAAGGCTATCTCCTCAGCAAATTCCAAGCTTTGCGGCACCCCTTGCCCTTCCGATTTCGCTGTGCAACTCAACCCCATCTATCTCTATCTCCGCGTTCCCAGCCCTCCCCACCTCAGGTGACTCCACCAGAACCTGCACTTGATGCCGACCCAAACATGTCGTGATCAAGCTTGAGCAGCATGACCAAATTCATAATGTTGGTCTCATACCTTGCTTTGTTGGCATTCACCAAAGGCAGGCCATGTTCCCTTGCATAAGCACGGTGGGCTCACATGCAAAGAGCTACACCAAGAGACGTGCCCATTCCGAGTGAACAAAGATACCAAGAGGTTGCGAAGGAAGGAAGGAACAACTTGAATGTACCGTCCGCTCACGTCCGGCCAAGCGCATGCACGTTGCCTCACGCTCCTCGCCCAGCTGATTTTGAAGCTCCAACCGCGCAGCCTCATGGCAAACTCGATGGGAGCAGCAGGCAACATCCGAAGAAAGCAGTAAACCGAGAAGCACCTCCCAACCCGGCAAGCTGTGTACTGAGGTACAACTGACATTAATTCCGCAACCATCAAGACTGGTTGTCATGTCCTTTGGCCCAGCTCCTTGGTCTACTTTCACAAACCGCGCCTCAGCTGTATTCAGCTGGCTGTCTAGCTGCTTGTTGGTCTGGCCACAGCTTGCTATTTGCTAGCCACTGCAAGCACGCTGCATCATGGTACAGTCTCTCAAATTAATCTTGATTCCGGAACAAGCATGCAGCTTCTGCAGTCGGCCTCCTGCTGCTTTCTAAGCCTGGAGAGAGAAACAGGCAACGGGTGCCATTCCAGCACACTCAGTTGGTTTGCTTGCACAAGAAAGTCGGCTGCAAATGGCTGGTGGCAAGCGGCTGTTTATTTGAACGGAACTCGTTCGTCTCAGAAATCCAAACTGGCTACGGTGAAGAATGTTACACACAAAAAAGGAAACAGGGTCCACTCTGGGTGGAAACATATTCAGTTCGATACAGTGTATCAAAGCAAGCGGTGATGGGATGTTCAAGAGGGCAGGAAGTAAACATTGCACTACACAGACAACTTGTAGCCTGGGCATCTTGCCTTCAAGAGTCGCATCACCTCAAACTACTCAAGAGGGTTCGGGAAGCCTCCGTGCCAACTCCACGTGCCGCTCCGAGGTCTCTTGGAGCTGCCGCCGCAACCCATCGCGCTCCGCCTTGCCAAAAGGTCCGAAGGCTGCGCAGTTCTGCTAGCTTCAGCTTCATGACATGGACAAAGCATCGGATGGCTGGAACAGTTGCAGAGCAAGCTAAGCAAAGATTGGCCAGCGTACTGCATCAACCCTAACTACTCTCGACACCGTGCCCCGGACCGGAACGACCCCGCATCATCAAGTGCCCATCTTGATCTTCGCAGGCTTCAAAAACAACACAGGAGGGAGGAGAGTGACTCAAGCCCCACATCAGTGTACGATCGATGCTTGCATGCTCACAAAGGGTCCGCGCCAACGCTGCTCACAAAGCCAAGCAAAAAAACAAATCACGGAAGCAAATAAGATAAACGCAATCAGCCCACGGACAAACCAGGATTACATCTGAGCCCCCCTTCCTTTCCCTTCCTTCCCCTTCCTTCCCCTTGGCCACTCGCACCTTGGAGCTGCGCAGCTCCTTGGCCATCTGTGCCCGCTGGGCCTCGCAGCTGCTGAGCCGCTCTGCCGTCTGCCGGTGCAGCGCCTGCCGGGGCTTTTGGAGCGAAGGCCCAGGCGAAGCCTTGGGGGTATCGGGGGGGGGGGGTGGAGGGAGGACCTGGGCGGACTTGGAGCGGATTTTTGAGGGGGATGATTGCCTGTGACTTATCCAAATGGGGTCGCTTGTAGCCCTGCGTATAGAGGGAATCCTGGCGCGTGCGTGGCGCGCCCCCTGCTCTTGCGTGTGGAGGAAAGCCGGGCGAGTGTGGCGAGCAGCTGCTTGGGCAGCGAACGCGATTGCCCCACCCCACCCCCCTCCCGCGCTCTTGCGTGTAGAGGAATCTCACCGGCCATGGTCGCAAGTGACCCCAAATCGTCTGGTCGCAAGTGACCCCCCCCACCATTTATGTGTGTGTGTGTGTGTCAGTGGTTGCGTTCCGCTTTATAGATGTGAGGTGATGGCTGCGGGGGAAGTTTCTTTGAGGAACGAATCACACCTTCTCCGGGTGTCGCCTTGACTAAGTGTCATTTGCTGCACCTTCTCCAAACAACTGCTGTCAGGTCTTGTGTAGTCAGTTGCCAAGTTGCTGCCGTGGGGTCAAACGGTAAAACCGTAAAACACAGCAGGCGATCATACACCATGAGTATGCTTCATGCTTGAAACTGACAAGAAACTCCAGAAGCCGCCACGTTTCAACCGGGCTGTGCAGGTGTCTGGAGTGTTGAATTGCTACTACGTCTTGTATTTTGATCAACAAACCAAGCAATAGGAACACAAAAACAAACAAGGAAATGAGGATTACTGCGCGGGCAAGCGCCTCCAGCTCTGCCCGCGCGGTAAGCTCCCGGGCAACCGCCTCCCGAAGCTCTGCCAGCTCACCTCATGGCGTTCCATGGGCCAAGAACAAGGTCAAACACGTCAAACAACTGGGAAAATGCCACACAATGAAGACGTTTGCGTCCCAGCTTCGGAGCAACTCTTCGTTGGCAACGTCCTGGTCCTGCCAGGATTTCGTGGCAGTGGATCTGGCCATCCGAATCTGGAAAGGCATCAGCTGCGCCATACCATGCCAGTGTGAGCAAGTGATATGTATGCTTATGCTCCCCCAAAGGCGGCTTCAGCTGGGAACGCAGCCAACTGAATCTAGCCAGAAACCGACTATATCCTGAGCTTCCCAAGCTTGTTACCTTCAACGTTGGTCACAAAGGTCACTTCACAATGAAAAGACAATTGCATACTTGGTCTTTTACTTGTGTTCAAAGTTCTCCGGTCACTATCGCCATCATCATTGCACAGCTTGCAGTTTCTCTGTCGGGTGACAATCTTGACGTGCTACACGCCACGTGCCATCATGATACATTGTTGTGCCGGTGCTGTTGGGCTACTCTATGCCCTCTGCCCCCCGGCTTGCCTCCGGCACTGCCCTGGCAGGTGGCTTGAGAGACTGCCTTCCAACATGCAACTACCCGTCACGCCATCCCAACTCTGTCTCTCTCTCTCTCTCTCGGGTACCCTGCGTCCGACATCTCAAAACTTTGAAAGCCCGTTCCATCACACGCCTCTGTTGGCGTTCGTCGTCCTCCTCCTCCTCCTCTTCCTGCTACTGTGCTTCTGGGTTGAGACTGCGAGCTCTGTTGAGCTCACTGGGCCGGGATCAAGCATTCAGCGGGCTGTCACCATGAACATTACACATGGAGCCTCCCAATATGTCTCAGTCGTTGAGCAAACAACTGACAAACTGAGAAAACTTAACTGCTAGGAACCACCCTCCCCACAGCCTCCAAGTCTTCGCACACCGCCTCGTGCACCGTGGGTGCCTGAGGATGAGTAGACAAAGCTGCCTCAACCAGCTGGTAGCGATTCGAACAAAAAGTATGCCTTCTGTGGCATATAAGATGACCGTTGCAACAAGCTCTCTTGGCCGTTCGGATGCCCAAGCTGAGCTCCCACACCATGGAAACACGGCTAGGCTTCTCGTGAAGCAGAGCACCATGTCTCTCCTGTCATACAACAGCCGAACTTTGAGATCTAGAACCGACTGCAACGTTATAACCTCAGAGAACCCCCTAACTGTCAATACCAACCAGGTAACCATTGCCTGTTGCTCAAGCAAGCCTAGTCAAGGCGCTTCAAATGCAGAGGAAATCTTGGCTCCAGGATCTCACCAAAACCAAATTAAATCGAAATCCAATACAGCAGAGCCCTGGCTATGCTTGCTTCAACAAACTGGACCTCCTCATCTGTATCACTCACTGGAATCACCTCTGCTGCATCCAATCTTCCGCAAACGGACCACTGCGCCTCGGCCTCCGAGGCATTGCTTTCCGCCTGGAGTGATGCATCGAAGAGAAAATGTGTGCCGAACGTTCTAGAAGATCCACATGATTCCAATGATTCAAATGCCAAGGCTAGATAAAGAAAGTGCCCAGCCTCTTGGCCGCACAACTTGCACCGCTCTGCTCCAAGCAGCTTCCTTTTTATTCGCGCGGTCGTAGGTTTTGCAGTCACCTCGCTGTGCCCTTCGGAAGATCAACTCACACCGAGGTCTTGAATGAGCTGTGGCAGCTGCGGGCATGAAATGCCCAGCTTTGGTGCTTGCCATGACCCTGGCGTCGTAAACTCCAACACTGCCACTTTAGCACTTATCCAAAGCGGGCATCTGTGCCCTGAAGCTGCTGTTGGCAGCCAGCCGCTTTATGCTTGTGGCTGCCATATGTACAAGGACAGCGAGCTGCGATAGAGGTAGCACAAAGGCCACGGTCAAAACTGACGTACTGCGGAACAGAACCACTTTAGCCTGATCCAAATTGGCCTGCTACTGCTCTACAGCCCCAACCTGCCTACAAGCTACATCTTGGAAGCTGGCATCCAAAACCAGGCCAGTTTGCCTGGTGACTTGCTCAGGTCAAGCAAATCGCATCAGTTCCCGTTCTGATTATCCTGCTTGGAATCTGTGCATCCAAATTGGCACAGCAGCACAAGCTCGACCTGCTGCGGACACCACTTGCCCAGACCTTGCTGCGCACTTCCAAAGGCCAGCATTGTTGCCTTCGGGCCTTGAAACTTCAAGGTCACAATGTTGTCTTTGGGATGACAAAGACCTCGGGCTAAAACAAATCACCTGTCTCCCAAAGAGCTCTTTTGTGCCCTGGAAGCTTCCAGCCCATCAAGCAAGCGCAGACTCAGAGCACACTAGGCCGTCGGAAGAAGTCAAAGTTTAAGCATGCAAAAAAAGAAGCAGGTAAGGGCCCTGGATTCGTGCCACTGTGTGTTTCTTCTATTGCTCTTGGGGGCTACTAAATTTGAACTGCTTCAAGTATGAAAAACTGGACATGAGCAAACACTCCAAGCCCCGACATTATCCTGGCGAAGAGACCTCAAATAGTTCTGAGCTGTGATGCTGCGCGCGATACTGTGCATGATGGTCCCTCTTGCGCGTGATGCTCTGCAACCTCTCTTGCCCAACCTTTGATGTCGAGTCTATCGTCAACCTCTCTTGTCCATATCTGCGCGCAGCTTGGCTGCGCAAGAAGGCTGGCGATTTTCCCCCCAGCTGCGACTTGGAATGCGACCTTTGCCCTTACAAGTTGTGATTCTCGGGCTGGAGATACGGAAGTGTAATTCGCGTGCTGCTTTTCCACTTTCGAGTTGCAGATGCGAGAATGCATCACTTTCGCGCTTAACAGCTGTGGCTCTTTGAGCTGGAGCTGCGAGAGCGCGCGCGCTTCACCTTTGCGCACTGCGGGAACGCACTTCGCGTCCAAACCTGCGGTTCTCGGGTTAGAGCCGTGGCAACGCACTTCACATGCTACTTTGCCGCTGAAAACGACTTTGCACCCGGAGCTGCGGGGGAACGCTCCGCGCACTACTTTTGTACTTAAGTCTTGCGAACTTCGGCCTGGAGCTGCGTACTACTGCTGTACTCAAAAGTTGCGATTTGTCAGCCGGGTCTCTGAGAACGAACACGCTTCGCACGCTACTTCTGTGCTTGACGCTTGCGACTTTGCGCCCGGAGCTGCGGGAGCGCACTTCAAACACTCCCCAAACTTACAGAGCTGCGGGTGCGCACTTCCCGCGTTTGGCAGCCGGAGCCGCGACCAAAACTCTCGCACGGCGCCACAACAAGAATGCCTCGACACGCATCTCCGCAGAGGGTTCTCCAGGCTCGAAACGCATTCGCGGGCGCCGCAGCGAGCGCTTCCACACGCGCAATCTCCGCAGAGGGTTCGCCGAGCTCAAAACACATTCGCACCACAGCGTGTTTTGCCGAGCCCGAGCCGCGTTCGTGCGGCACCGCAGCGAGAGCGCACGCACGATCTCCACAAAGGGTTCACCGCGACCAAGACGAGCGAGCTCACACGGCGCCATAGCGAGAGTGACACGCGCAACAAGAGCGCCTCGACGCGCACAATCTCCGCAGAGGGTTTGCCGAGCTCCAGACACATTCGCGCGGTGCCGCAACCAGAGCGCTTCGACAAGCACGATCCCCGCAGAGGGTTCGCTACCCTGTTGCTGAAAATGCTGTGCTTGCCACGCAACCCAGAGCATCAGCACAAAACATTCTGCGCTCACCACGAAAGTGTCACAGAATGCCGCGCTGGCCATGGAGTCCTGCCGTCAGCACACAAGCCGCGCCGCAACGAGAGCGCAGTTGTGAAGAAAGGTCCGCTTGGCTCGAAGCTGTCGCACGCAAGACAACTTTTGGAGGTCCGATTTTCCAACCGTCGTAGCCTGACAGACAAGGAGACATCCACCGCGTAGCAGCCCTGCCATCAAAAACAGGCCTCCTACAATACACGACTTCTTACTGTATTGCCCCTGCTAGCAAAAGCCGAGAAATGACCACGGCACCACAGCGAGAGCGCACAGCCCACATTTCGCGCGAGACTGTCGCATCGAAGACAACTTTTTACAAACAGGGCCAACACTTTGAGCGCGAACCCTCGATCTAACCCAGCCTTAACTGTTCCCGTAAAAAACCCCTTAGTGTAAACACTATTTGAGGAATCACAGGAAAAAATGTATTTGCTTGTGTCTGCTCTTGGCATCACCATCTGTTGGCCGCTTCCATTTGAAGAGTTTCTCTGCTTGTTGTTCACGGAGCTCTGAGAAAACGCATGGCCAATCCCACAGGAATGAAAACGCTGGCCTCAAAAGAAAAACGACGTGCAATGCAAGACTGGCAACAAGAAAGCACAACACTGGACAGCATCACCTGGAATGAGCTGAATGAAAGCCATTGCAACAGCCAAGCAGAATCTGTTTTTTGGACTTAATTTTATGGAAAACTATCCTCCAGCAGGCAACGTTATTATCGAAATGCTGTATGCAACCTGTGAACACAGTGACAGCACTGACGCGAATGAACAAATGCTCCTTTGTCGGAGCAGCTGTTTCATGGTCCTTGCAAAATCAAAACGCACATGACATGAAGAGCTCATTGTTGCTCATATGGGCCCTGAGTTTTACCTCAACAGTGGTTGGTGGACATGAATCCCCACCAAATACATGTCCACCAAAGGGTTCTTTATTAAAATCATGCCTGATGAGTCTCGTGCCAAAGACACCTAAGTGGTTACCTGCCCAAATGAGTGGTGCTTCCTTGGGGCAGCCCTGAGGCTCAGGTTAAAACCCTGCGGCGTACAGGCCAACGGGGTGGAGCCAGCACGGCGCCGGACCAAGCCTGGAAGAAGCACCATGAGACCGGATGGGACAACTCGAGATCAGGGATGAGACCGGATGGATCACAAAATAGGTGCAAATTCGGGCGATTCATTGTGAGTGATGACAGTCCTGACCTACGATTCCAGTGCTTCACATGATCTATGATCGTTCGACTCTGGCTGTGGCAATGCAGCCCAATCAATTCGTGTACCTGGGGTCACTTCATTCTACAAGCCTTACCCCGGTGCTTAAACTCCCCGCGAATTCCATTAAGCCCCAAACGCCACTTAGAAGCGTCCCCCTGCTCCATCGCACATCTGTCCTCCACGGCTCGCCCGTGCCCACAGGCACTAGCCTGCCCGGGACGGAACCAGAGTCCGGATTCAAGTTGGCAGCTGGCAAGTTGATTCAAGTTGATCATGCGGCTCACAAACAAGAATGAACTCGCAAGCAAGCCGACCAAAGCTGATAGCGCACCGCAGCCGGGCTTCCCTTCCTGCCTCTGGCATTGCCGGTGGCACATGCAGCGCCAGCGACTGCGTGGGCGGGCGTGAAAAAACACACCCTTGAGGCTATCCGGCTCATGTTCATGCAACTCTCCAAAATGCAACATGCATCCTGCAACATGTCACACATTGAATCCGCAAAAAGCCTGCAAGTGGCGGGTATACACAACAGACCTGGACTGAAAGCCGGCTTTGTGGGCTTGCCTGATTACAAGCAAACATCACAGCCTGTGGATCCACAGTTTACGTGCTTGGCCACGTCAAGACAAACAATGAATGCACATTCCCAATTCTGGCAATAATCCCAAAGTGGAGCCTGCAAAGTTCGTCACAGGCCAAGAACTCTCAACAAATTAGCCTGTTGTTTCTCTCTCTCTCTCTCTCTCTCTTCCCCTGTTTCCGAGAAACGAAGAGAACCATAAGGCACCGCAATGTGTGCGTATGTCAAAATGGACTCCTCCAAATGGTTCTCTTTCCAATTGCCTGACAATGCCACACGCTCGTCGAACCAAGGCCCCAAGTAATGCGTCAAAGCAAAACTGTCAGCTTTATCCCGTTTTGATCTCCAAGCCCCTTGCCAATGTTTCCAGCCACTCAAGCAGAAAGAAGCATCAATTCAAGAGTTTCCTTGTACTCCAAGTGTTCAGTCTATGAGCGCCATACGACTGCATCTCATAATCTTGCATTGATGTATTTGTACCCCACGGAATGGCATTCGTGATGGGAGGAAGAATGTGGACCGCCTTGCCCAGTTCGACTTTCAAACAAACATTGTAGATGTCTATTACAACCCAATCTTGTCAAGAATCGATCACCGGGATTGGCTGAATACGTCCTAATGACCTGCAGCTGCGATCCCACATGTCACGATTGTCGAGCCCCACGTTGTTGCTAGCCCAGCGTATCTCGAACACCTCTATTAAACATACTACAGGTCAATGACACTCCACAGGGGAAGCAGTCAAAAAGCAAAGTGATTAAGCACAGTTCCGAGCTAGCTGCTCGCTGCTGATGAGACCTTCCATCATATATAATTAAGTGCTACAAAACAGCACACGGTTTCGGACAACAGCCCCCAACGCCAGCAGACCTCTGGGCAGCTGCGAGAGCGGGCCCGCGGCGCAGGAGGCTCCTTGCAGCAATATTGCCATGTCACGG